GAGAGAGAGAGAGAGAGAGGGAAGCAGGCTCCCTGCTGAGCAGAGAGCCCAACACGGGACTCGATCCCAGGACCCTGAGATCATGACCTGAGCCGAAGGCAGCGGCTTAACCCACTGAGCCACCCAGGCGCCCCATATACTGCACTTTGAAGTTGGACTTGCTTTGAAGGGCCAAGATATGAAAAACACAATGCTGCCACACAAAAAGCACTCCGTAAATGTTGGCTCTCCCTATGCCTTACCCTCCTCTTGCAAACACTCAGTAAAAATACTTGTTGAATAGTTTTGAGTGTTAATGAGTGAGGATCCAGGAAAGAGACAGACACACACATGAGCACACATCCGCAGAGACACACACGCGCACGTGCAGGAGAGATGACACATCATGGGTGGGCAATCCCAAGGCACCGTGACACCAGCAGGGTTAGAGGAGCCCCTCAAAGATGGGCCAGCAGCCAGCAGAATCAAAAGCATCTTGGATGTCTCAGTGCTAATTCCAGGAGCATTCAGAGCTCGGGAATCCCGAGCTCGGGAGGAACGGTGGTCAGGGCTACCACGCATGGTTGTGCCATCTGTGCCCTACACAAAGATGGCAGCTGGGGCTGGGGAGAGCAGGGGCTGATAGTCAGTCCACGCTGCATTTGTTATATATACTGTGCACCTGAAAGGCTGTGTGCATCCCAAAGGGGCACCCTTTTCTCATTTATTGGCCAAGGGGAGTAACTTTTTCTAAATCTCACAAAGATGCTGTATAAGTTAATAATGGCAATAAAGGTCCCCAGAGACGGAAGAAATCCAAGGCAGAAGATAGCACTTATGGGAGGTCAAGCAGCAGGCCAAAGCCTGGTGTTTAGGGACAGAGCCCCAGTAGTTCATTTACTCAGTTATTAAGTACCTACTGTATGCTGGACATTCTGCTGAAGAAGACGGATATGGACTGCACGTCCATGGAGCGTTACTGACCCACAGGCGAGACAGACATCCATGGAGCGTTACCGACCCACAGGTGAGACAGACATTAGAAAAAGAAACAAACCTATAATGTCAGCCAGAGGTCAAGGCCATAATGGAAGGAAACAGAATGAAAAGACTGACAGTGACAGAGGAGAAGGAAAACAATTCTGGGTAGGCGTTTGAGTTGAGAATGCGGTGATGGGAAGGAGCCTGCCGTGATATCTTGAAGATCAACCCCTAGAGAGGAGTGAATGAACTGGTGTTGGGGTTCAGGGTAAGATCCAAATAATAGATAGCAAGTGGTTGGAACCAAAGAAAGGCAACCTAGAAGGACTGAGTTCTACCCAAAGGGATGTGAGAGAGGAAATAGTACTACTATCCTTGCACAAGCCCGGGGAGCCCCACTCACGACACGAGGAAGCCGTGAGGAGGAAGGATGTTGCAGCCTCATATGGAGGAGGCTCGTTCTGCCTGTGCCCCCTCTTCCCCCCAAGAGACTGAATGTTCACATGGACAACAGCCCAGCCAGACAGCAGAACTCTGACCCACAGTTTCTGGAGCACAATGATCAGGACCTGTTCAACACCTGCCAGGACTCGTATTCCGATATCCCCACTTCCACCTCAAGACCAACCAGAAAAAACGACGAAGCTCTGCAAGCCAACTACATAGGAGGCCCCATTTCTGGTTCACCTGCCTCCAGCTTCCCCTGGCCAACAGCGTCCAGTCAGGGCAGACTTGAAGGCTTCCCGACACAGGTCCCTTTGCTTCGGCAAGCTCTGTGTCAGTAGGCTCTGTTCTCCCTTGGAAGGGTCTTCTCGGATTTCTAGACCCTCTCTCTGCTGCTGAGTGGGGATGCAGATACGGGGTGAATCGTGAGCACCAGAGTGGAAGGAGCCTGGCGGACTGTGGAACTGCCATACACTCTGGACTGTTAGAAACACACGCACACAGCCAGAGGAGGCCTTTTGGTCTCAGATCGAATGGTCAGACTTCATCTGTTTAAACTGTACTGATTTGGAACTTGTGCAAGTTTGCCTGGAGTGCCTTGGGCAAGAGGGTATATTTGCACTGGATTAAAAATGAAGAGTTTGCCGAGCAGATTCATGTACACCAGATTTCACTCATTTAAACTGGGATTTTTGAGGAACTTTAGCTTCTTTCACTTGCATACAAGGATTGATATGCTAATTACAATAGACTCTGATCTATTCAATAGTACTTAGAGTGCACTTAGACTGGACAGCCTGGGAATGCTTAGAATGGAGAGGAATAAAGCCACTCTGAGACCCGCAAAATTCTGAACTCTTGTCACTTTTGACTGTGGACTCCCCCAGTCAGGATAAAAAGGAAATGTTACTCTTTCTTGGGTGTTTTGTATCCCCAATGTAAGTCTGTCTCTTTGGACAGCTCTGGCTGCCACGTGGCCCAGGATCACAGGATACCACTTCTGGGGGTGGGGGAGGGTCATATAAGGCCAGTTCACTAATGTCCACATACAACCGGTCCCTCTTCTTCTCAGTGGTGACAGCTCCCGCTGGCCTCCCTGTCACTTCCCCTGTGCCCACAGGGGAGGCACAGAAGGGACAGACTCCTAGGACTGGCTCCGTGGTACCATGGTCTCAGCTGATCTCCTGTGAGATGCCTGGCGCAGGAAGATGGGCCAAGACACAGAACTAAGGTCTTAAGCTTTTGTGTCCTCCCGTCTTCTAAGTCAGACTCTCATTTTCAGGAACCTTACACTGCACCTGACCGAGCAAAGACCAAGTGGCCTCTGGAGGTTTGGCAATCCTTGGCTTACCGGTGAGTGCTATGGAGCTACCTGGGAATCATGACCAGAAGTGTAGTTCCTTGGAACATTCCTGTCGGTGCCCCCAGGCCCCCAACACCTCTCCACCCATTCACACACTCATCCATCAGTCATTTTGTGTGTGCCTCCTGTAGGATAGCAGATGCAGTCTTGACTCTCGAGGAGCCCTGGTCTACGGTGAGACAGACATTGATCTCGAGGAGCCCCGGTCTACGGTGAGACAGACATTGATACAAATATGTATCATTGATACAAATTGTATCATTGATACAAATTGTATCATTGATACAAATATGTACCAAAAATTATGGATGCTAATCTAGCGTGACAAAAGCTGTAACTGAGATGTGTGCAAACAAGTGAATGCAGAAGAGTGAGCAGGTAACTCAGTGTGGTTAGGGAAGGCTTCTCGAGTATCAAGCAGGTGATGCTGGAGTGGAATCTTATGGAAGCTTCCATTAGCTAGACACCTGGGGTGGGGAAAGAGGGTAGGGAGGGGAGACAGTCCAGACAGAAGCAGAGGACTTAGAAGGGCTAAGAAAGGCCTGGTGTTCTGTGAGGTTGGAACAGAGGACGAGGGAAGGAAGGATCTCAGAAACTGGGGCTGGGGTGGTCTTGGGCACTGTGCTGGAAGGTTTGGGCTTTATTCTGAGGTCACAGTACACACACCCAAAGCAGGGCTGTGAACGCCATGCCAACAGGGGCCGGGCAGATGATGCCCATCAGTGAGGTGGGCCCTATGGGACCCCAAAGACCCGGGAGCACAGGCTTCATCCAAAGGCGGCAACTGAGTGTTACCGTGCTAGAGTACAGCTCAGTGTCTCACGTTCCCATTAAAAAAAAAAAAACAAACCTGTATTTTTATATGAATACTCCCAAGTTTTAACTGTTGGACATTATTTCAAAACATCATGCTAGCCACGCAGAAACAACTGACGTCCTATCAGTCCCTGGGCTTCTAGTTTGGCACTCCAGATACAAAGCTTAAGCCGAGAGCTGTCATAGTCTCGTGTTTCAGAGCTGTCCCCACAGATCTCCACATGAGGTTTCTGCAGCAGCCTCTGCCAGCAAGAACCTCTTTTCCCCATCTTCAGCCCCTTGCTCCTTGCCCAAGTGGTTCTGCATCCCTCACTACCCTCTGGACTACGCCCACCCTCGCTGCCCTCCCCGACCACGCCCACCCCTCACAGCCCTCCCTGACCACGCCCACTCCTCACAGCCCTCCCCGACCACGCCCACCCCTCACGGCCCTCCCCGACCACGCCCATCCCACAGCTGCGGGCACCATCCTCAGCACTAACACCCGCCTCATCTTGCACAGGAGGAGCCAGATGAATGAGCCGTGCTCCAGGCCTGACATACAGAGAAGAGCCCAGCATTAAGGACACGAGAGAGCCATATTTATTTCACATGGACAAGCATGATTCCTTCGCATGCTGAACATGAAAGCTCGCGTGAGTCAAGTACCCGTAACAGCAGAATTAATGTGCTTTTGTCCATAGGGAGCAGGGAGAGTCACAAAGTGGTTTCCAAAGACCATTAACCTTCCAGCAGAGTTGAGACCACAGGCTTTGAAATCTCTGGTTTATTTCATCACCGAAGGGGCTGTCTGCTAGGAGTGACTGGGGGTGCTTCCGGCCCTGCAATGTCTCGATGAGCTGCTAAGGTCAGGAGGAAGAGGACGGTCTCCTGTCCCACCACCCGGGGCGGCTGGGGAGAGTGAAGCTCAGAGGGGAGGTACATGCCACTAGGAATTAGCAAGTCCGCTCTGGGGCGGACAGTGACGGGGACAGACTGCTGTGTTCACAGCAACAGAACCATCACCACTTATAATATCTAGCGTAATCAGAAGATCCATTCTTAAAGCCGTTTCCCAAGGCCTCGGAGGGGCTGAAGGGAAATGATTCAGAACTGACTGGACAAGCCAGAAGTGGGTCAGCTCTGCCTAGACAGACTGGGGAGAGCTAGTGGCAAGGACCCCCTGGTCTCGTGGCCTTAGCTGGTCCTCCCAGTTCCAGGACGATGGAACCCGAGATGGGAAAGGGGGCTGGAGCTGGGTTGGGTTTGCTGGGGGAAGAGGATCACAGGCTCGAGGGGCCAGCCTCACGGAAGAGACAAGCAGAAGAACCCTTACATCTTGGTGGCTCACTCCCACCTGAAGTCCTGTCCAACTGTTTCATAAAATTTAATATTATAAGGTCTATAAAATTCCCGGAGCTGGTCTATCACTTCTGGATCAATCTGTACATGAGTTCTGCCTTTCGATTTGCCCAGGCACCGAGGCAGGAGGCTCGATTCTGTTTTTCTCAAGCAAGGGAATCCTTTGGTCTTGTTGAAGTAGAAGTGCTTGTCCGTGATGAACCTCTTGATGCCCAGGAAGTCCTGGACGCGGCCCAGCTCGCCCGCCGGGTCGGTGATGAGCCGCTCGCCGCTGACGAAATGGATCTGAGCCAGAGGGAAGTACCGCAGCCAGCTCTCCAGGTGCAGCGCATACATGCCTATGCGGATGGCGCTCCACGACACATCCACCTGGCCCAGCGTGCGGTTGCGGAAGGACAGGCCCTCGAAGGTGGGGATGTCTGGCTTCTTGGAGAGCGTCTGTGTGTAGTCCGAGATGGCCCGGGTCACCGGGTTCCGCACGACCACGATCAGCTTGGTGTCCCGGGACATGTTGAAGATGCGCCGGGGGGCCTCCTGCGTGACGAAGTAGCTGGGTGTCTTCTCCAGTGTGATCTGGCTCTCCAGCGTCCGCGGCATGAGGCTCCTGTGGGGCAGAAGCGGCACACTGTCAGACAGGGTCCCTCTGGGGAAGGGGAGCAGGGAGGTCATTTCCCCACACCCAGCCCCCCAGGGAGGCCCCCCCTCCTCGGTGACATCCGAGCTCCACCTGCATTCAGGGGGCTGGGGGGGGGGGGGGGGGGGGGGGGGGGGGGGTGTGCGGGGGGTGCAGGGGGAGGTGCCCACCCGTCTTCAGCCAGCACGACTGCTGCGTCCTCGGCTACAATCCCTCCCCAGCGTCAGATCTCCGGGGAGGGACCCACTTCACCTTGTGCTAGTTGCTTAAAACAATCTTTAACAGGTTTGCTTTAAGAGAGGAAACAACCTAAAAGTTCATCAGTATGGCTTAAATAAATGATGGACGAGTCAATGAACAGAAATAGGCGTACCTGTTGTGTACAGAAAGGGAATGATTTCCAAGATACAGTGTTGAATGGAAAAAGGCAAGATACAGCACGTTCACCGAAAGGACACGTGACGGGTAAGAATGGCGCTTCTGGGGAGGGGTCTTGAGATGGGGACAGAGTGAGGGGGTCAGGGATAAATGAGAATCACTTTACCCAAAGCAGGGCTGTGAACGCCATGCCAACAGGGGCCGGGCAGATGATGCCCATCAGTGAGGTGGGCCCTATGGGACCCCAAAGACCCGGGAGCACAGGCTTCATCCAAAGGCGGCAACTGAGTGTTACCGTGCTAGAGTACAGCTCAGTGTCTCACGTTCCCATTAAAAAAAAAAAAACAAACCTGTATTTTTATATGAATACTCCCAAGTTTTAACTGTTGGACATTATTTCAAAACATCATGCTAGCCACGCAGAAACAACTGACGTCCTATCAGTCCCTGGGCTTCTAGTTTGGCACTCCAGATACAAAGCTTAAGCCGAGAGCTGTCATAGTCTCGTGTTTCAGAGCTGTCCCCACAGATCTCCACATGAGGTTTCTGCAGCAGCCTCTGCCAGCAAGAACCTCTTTTCCCCATCTTCAGCCCCTTGCTCCTTGCCCAAGTGGTTCTGCATCCCTCACTACCCTCTGGACTACGCCCACCCTCGCTGCCCTCCCCGACCACGCCCACCCCTCACAGCCCTCCCTGACCACGCCCACTCCTCACAGCCCTCCCCGACCACGCCCACCCCTCACGGCCCTCCCCGACCACGCCCATCCCACAGCTGCGGGCACCATCCTCAGCACTAACACCCGCCTCATCTTGCACAGGAGGAGCCAGATGAATGAGCCGTGCTCCAGGCCTGACATACAGAGAAGAGCCCAGCATTAAGGACACGAGAGAGCCATATTTATTTCACATGGACAAGCATGATTCCTTCGCATGCTGAACATGAAAGCTCGCGTGAGTCAAGTACCCGTAACAGCAGAATTAATGTGCTTTTGTCCATAGGGAGCAGGGAGAGTCACAAAGTGGTTTCCAAAGACCATTAACCTTCCAGCAGAGTTGAGACCACAGGCTTTGAAATCTCTGGTTTATTTCATCACCGAAGGGGCTGTCTGCTAGGAGTGACTGGGGGTGCTTCCGGCCCTGCAATGTCTCGATGAGCTGCTAAGGTCAGGAGGAAGAGGACGGTCTCCTGTCCCACCACCCGGGGCGGCTGGGGAGAGTGAAGCTCAGAGGGGAGGTACATGCCACTAGGAATTAGCAAGTCCGCTCTGGGGCGGACAGTGACGGGGACAGACTGCTGTGTTCACAGCAACAGAACCATCACCACTTATAATATCTAGCGTAATCAGAAGATCCATTCTTAAAGCCGTTTCCCAAGGCCTCGGAGGGGCTGAAGGGAAATGATTCAGAACTGACTGGACAAGCCAGAAGTGGGTCAGCTCTGCCTAGACAGACTGGGGAGAGCTAGTGGCAAGGACCCCCTGGTCTCGTGGCCTTAGCTGGTCCTCCCAGTTCCAGGACGATGGAACCCGAGATGGGAAAGGGGGCTGGAGCTGGGTTGGGTTTGCTGGGGGAAGAGGATCACAGGCTCGAGGGGCCAGCCTCACGGAAGAGACAAGCAGAAGAACCCTTACATCTTGGTGGCTCACTCCCACCTGAAGTCCTGTCCAACTGTTTCATAAAATTTAATATTATAAGGTCTATAAAATTCCCGGAGCTGGTCTATCACTTCTGGATCAATCTGTACATGAGTTCTGCCTTTCGATTTGCCCAGGCACCGAGGCAGGAGGCTCGATTCTGTTTTTCTCAAGCAAGGGAATCCTTTGGTCTTGTTGAAGTAGAAGTGCTTGTCCGTGATGAACCTCTTGATGCCCAGGAAGTCCTGGACGCGGCCCAGCTCGCCCGCCGGGTCGGTGATGAGCCGCTCGCCGCTGACGAAATGGATCTGAGCCAGAGGGAAGTACCGCAGCCAGCTCTCCAGGTGCAGCGCATACATGCCTATGCGGATGGCGCTCCACGACACATCCACCTGGCCCAGCGTGCGGTTGCGGAAGGACAGGCCCTCGAAGGTGGGGATGTCTGGCTTCTTGGAGAGCGTCTGTGTGTAGTCCGAGATGGCCCGGGTCACCGGGTTCCGCACGACCACGATCAGCTTGGTGTCCCGGGACATGTTGAAGATGCGCCGGGGGGCCTCCTGCGTGACGAAGTAGCTGGGTGTCTTCTCCAGTGTGATCTGGCTCTCCAGCGTCCGCGGCATGAGGCTCCTGTGGGGCAGAAGCGGCACACTGTCAGACAGGGTCCCTCTGGGGAAGGGGAGCAGGGAGGTCATTTCCCCACACCCAGCCCCCCAGGGAGGCCCCCCCTCCTCGGTGACATCCGAGCTCCACCTGCATTCAGGGGGCTGGGGGGGGAGGTGCGGGGGGTGGGGGGGTGTGCGGGGGGTGCAGGGGGAGGTGCCCACCCGTCTTCAGCCAGCACGACTGCTGCGTCCTCGGCTACAATCCCTCCCCAGCGTCAGATCTCCGGGGAGGGACCCACTTCACCTTGTGCTAGTTGCTTAAAACAATCTTTAACAGGTTTGCTTTAAGAGAGGAAACAACCTAAAAGTTCATCAGTATGGCTTAAATAAATGATGGACGAGTCAATGAACAGAAATAGGCGTACCTGTTGTGTACAGAAAGGGAATGATTTCCAAGATACAGTGTTGAATGGAAAAAGGCAAGATACAGCACGTTCACCGAAAGGACACGTGACGGGTAAGAATGGCGCTTCTGGGGAGGGGTCTTGAGATGGGGACAGAGTGAGGGGGTCAGGGATAAATGAGAATCACTTTTATTTATGCTGTTTAAAATTGTTAATGTATTTGTTGATTACATATTCAAAAAATACAAAAGCAAGCCACTGAATATTTATGCTGTTTAAAATTGTTAATGTATTTGTTGATTACATATTCAAAAAATACAAAAGCAAGCCACTGAATATTCTTCTGGCAAAAGATATTTCTCCAAACATATTAATTTTTTTTTTTTTTTTTTTTTTTTTTTTTGGCGGGGGATAGGGTTGGGGAGAAGGCTTGTTTTGTAGGAATAGCAAGTGTGTTAGAAACGAGTCTTGATGTCTTTCTCTGCTGCAACACATCAGAAATACATCCTTGGTGTAAGCCTGAAACAGCACGAACTCCAGGCCAGTCAGGACCTCAGCCAGAAGCCAGGTAATGCAACCTTCTCCTTCCTCTTTAGTTTCTTGGTTCTGCTGGAGACTTTAAGAGACAATGGTGGGAAGCTCTGAAGTCTCCTTCCCTGATGTGTCTCCTTCAGGCCTTGACAGAGGGGAAGATTCCTTGGCTCCCACTTGGTTCTTCTCTCTGAAGGTCACATTTTACACTTTAGAACACCCCAGGAATTTTTTTTTAAATGCAGCTGTCCAGGGTCTATCCTAGACCAACCGATTAGAAATATATGGGGCGGGTACTTTTTTAAAAAGCTCTTCAGGTGGTTCCAATGCGGAGGCAGAGCTGAGAACCTCCCCTAGATCATGGTTTCCCCACTGCAACTCATCTACCCCCTAAGCATTCCTCTTCCCCTTCTCTGGAGCACTCCTGCCTCCTAGTCGCCGTCTTCCCAGATCCCATCATGCACTCCATCCAACAGCCCAGCTCCAGAGCTCTTTAACCAAAATCTCCACTTTCTCTTTCCTTTTAGCAACCCCTCCTCATCGCAATACGTTGGGTCTTGTCATTGGAACTGCCCTAATTCTGAAACGGTTCCCCCCTTAAATTCCACTCTAGGACTATGGAGGGGCTGAAGGGTGGCCCTCCAAAAGATATGTCCACTCAGAACCTACGACTGTGACCTTACTTGGAAAAAGGGTCTTTGCAGATCTAAAGTTGAAGATCTCAAGAGATGAACCCAGGCGGGCCCTACTCCAACAAGCAGTGAGTAGCCTTATGGGGGATAAGCGGGGGAGAAGCGACAGTGAAGGTGGTGATGTGAAGGTGAAGGCAGAGCGTCAGGTGACTGATGTACAAGCGAGAAATGCCAAGGACTGTTGGCCACCACCAGGGGCTAGTGGTTTTGTCCCCCCAGTTTGTGGTCATTTTTATGGGAGCCCCCGGAAATGAATACAGACGATAACCTTCTTTCTTTCCACCTCAATTTAACACAGTCTCAAACTCCTTATACCCGAGCTTCAAATTCATCTATGAATCCCTTGACTTCACGTTCCTCCGTGCCTGCTCTGGACCCACAAACACCCACCGCCGTAGCACCACGGCCATGGTCATGAGCACCCTCCCCCTCATGCATTTCCTTGTTTGAGATGTTCTCCCCATCTCTAGCAATGCATGCTTCCCGTCCCCCATCTCTTCCATTCTTTCCCTGGACTGACTGACAGCAGCAGAGAGCACGACTGACCCTGACAGCTGGGTCCTGGATATCCTTATTAATTCTGGTTTCAGTGGAACTCTCAGACACTGCTCAGTAATGGTTAGTATTTGTCTTTCCAGAACCCCTTATGGTTCTTCCAAATAAGTGCTCCACATTCTCACCAGGAGCCCCCAACAATACTCCTGTTCCTCCGCAAACATCAGCTCCTTCCTCCTTCCCCTCCTCCACCTCCGGACTGTTCTCTGCACCCATCCTGTGTCCCTCCCACTGGCCCTAATGACAAGGTGGGCTCACTGATCTGTCCACCTGTGTGCGCAGATCCCTGCCCCTGGCACCTGCAAACCCACTGTGTACCTGACAGATGGATACAACTGCTATCCTGCTTCCAGGCTCGAGGTCTAGGATGGACCCCTGTGAGTTGAAAGTTTAGTATTTATTAATACTGAGTAGGCCAATTATTTTTAAAAAATAGTATATCATTATTAGCAATCACAAGTGTACATGAATAGAATTCCTTGGCTGGATTTCCTCAGAAATGTGGCTATAGCATATTCTGACCCTGGCACACCCTGTAATTAGGCGCTGGCCTTTAGGACAAGAGCGGACGACATTATACCGAGGTGATGGTGCGCTGAAGGTTAAGGACTTTCTATGGGGTTACTGATAGAAAGGTTTTCTCCAACACAAAAGGTTGACTTGACAAGGTACTCAACAAAATTTCTTTGCAATACCCTTTATCACACTAACAAATACCCAAGAGAGAAATGTGTGGTACAGTCTCTTCTCAACAGACTAAGGAGAGATACTTTTGCCAGGAGCACCAATGAACACCTCTGTTACCAGTTTAGGAGAATTCTGACCAATTCCAGTGATCTCCGGAGTACACCATCATGCCCCGAGCTGTGCGCTGAAGGCAAGCCCTGCCCTTCCCATTCCTAACTGGCATCTCAGCAGCAAAACCAAGTTACAGATACTGCGGAGACACTCACACCAGACGGCAAACAACCTCACGCAAGCGTCATCACGCCACGAGCCAAATGGCTCCTGTGCCTGGCGCGCTTTCTCTATCCCTTCCATACCTGCTTCTCCTTAGATCATCAGGATAGACGGCTGGAGGCCGGTGACAACCATGGGCAAGGAGACTCCACCTACTCCTCGTTGCTCTGGGCACGGACAGGTGTCGGGTGTGTGTGTGGGGGGGGCAACAGACGTTTCCTCGAGGCTTACTTTCCCTCTTCACATCATTGTTTACATTTTGCTTACCTGTTTCCAGCTGCTAATAGCTGAACTTTTCTCTCTCAGTTCTGGCCTCCTTTCCTTCCTAGGTTGCTCTGCACAAATTACTGGAAGAACTGTCTGACACCCCACAGTCTGGACTCACTCACCTCCCATCTGTTAGCGTGACCTGCTCGGTGGCAATTTTCCCTACATCTGGCAACAGCCCCTAGATTTCTTCCGGAGGAACTCCCACTCCTGCTTTGGACAAAATCCTGGCAGGCCAAGGGGGTGGGTGCGTGACTGAAGCTAAGACAACCAGGGCCAACTGTGTCATGGAGACTGGAGACTGTGGGACTGAACTCTCCGGGCAGGCATGGGAGCCTGGAAGGGCCTCCGCACTGGCCTCTTCCACCAAATCCCTCTGTCTGCCTTCTCCTCTCCTCTTCTCTATTTATTTATTTTAGAGAGAGAAAGGGCGTGCATGGGGGGAGGGGCAGAGGAAGAGGGAGAGAACATCTCAAGCAGATTCCACGCTGGGCGTGGAGCCCAAGGCGGGGCTTGATCTCATGACTCTGAGATCATGACCTGAGCAGAAACCAAGAGTCAGACCAGTTTACCCAACTGAGCACCCTACATGCCCTCGTTCTTGTCCTTTCTGAGACCTGGTTCTTCCACTTTCCTTTGTCAGTCCCTACATGTCCTTCCAACAGAGTACTACTGGTTTAGGTTAGTGAGCGTGAGCCTTGCTTTCTGTTGCTTATACCCCGAGAATCCAAATCTTATCTTTTTACAACCTGGCTTCCTCCCTATTGAAGCCCTGCTCGCCCCACTGGATTACCAGCTCCACGAGGACAGGGCAGGGAGCCATTGTGGATCTTCCCAATGGTCTGTGTCCCACTTCCCCTATGCACGTGATCTCGCCAGAGGACTTCAGTCGTCCCCCAGCCTTTACCCACCACTGAAGAGCCGCAGACTCACAAGTCTGTAACAGCAGATCCATCTCGCCCGCGCTCTAGACCGGCGTGCTCAACCAGCTGTGGACTGGACGCCGGCTCTGACTCACTTCTCTTTCGCCCATCCTTGTAGATGGTGTCGCCATGAATCCACTCACAAAGCAGAAAACCCTCAGGGTCATTCCTGACTCCTCCTCACATCTAAGGTCTTTCATTCCGGTAAGTTCTCAAGGAGCCCCCTCCTCTCCCAGCATGCTTGCACGGCCCCCGGCTTGTCATCTTTCTCCCTGACCTCCATGCTTCCTCTCTCTCCTCCCTCTGTCTGTTCTGCATCCTGCGTCCGCCACAGAAATCTTTCTAAAGCGCATCCCGGCTTGTGAGGCATCAACTATTCTTTGGAATGAAGCCCATATTCCTTGACTCAAGGCTCTGCCTTACCTTTCCAGAATGAATCTTTTGCCACTTCCTGGCAACCTGACGTGCCTGTCGTGCTGAACACAACATCCGCTCCCCAACACATCCCGCTCCGACCTGTGTTTCGCTACTTGCTGAGTTCTTCGCTTTTGTTAAGACTCTGGATCGTCTTTCTTGTCTCTCTCACCCTGGAGAACGTTGACTCATCTTTCCACGTCCAAACCAGAAGTCACACCATCTGTGAACCTTTCTTATAATTTCAGGACACGCGGCGCATCCCACTACCGGCACCCT